GGTGTTCCCCAGCAACGCCTGGGTCTGCCTGAGGGGGGGCCGGGGCGCTCCCTGGCCGGGGATCCAGCTGGGAGTCGAGAATGGCTTTTTATTATTTTTTATTTCTCTTTTTCCTGGTATCGTAGGGCAGGATGGCTTCGGTTGAAAGGGAGACGCTGTCCCAAGACGAACTGCGGAAAAGGCTCTATCAGACTTTTAAGAACCGAGGTGTACTGGACACACTGAAGGTGTGCTCTATTCGCTGCAGGTGCTGCCTGTGGCTCCCTGTACTAATTAACCTTGAAAGCACCGAAAGTCATGCCAAGTAACTGTTTCTCAGTCTCCCTAGCTGTATTATTTTTGTCTCAGCCTAATTTGTATTTAGGGTTTTTTTTGGCCAGATAAAAGTTTTTTCCTCAACAGAGGTGCTTTTAGTTGTGGATTAGTCTCAGAGTCTTTTTTCAGGAAGGTTAAAGGCCTGTATCAGGTCTTTGAAAATTTCCATGCTTGAGAAAAAAGCCAAGTAGGAAAGAAAGGAATAAAGGAGGATACAGGATTGGAAAGGATCTCTTATCACAGTCTGTTTATTACCTACTATAAGTAGGTAATAAACCTACCTAAGCACACTTTATGAATTACCCTCCTAAACTGTTCCCGTTCTGTTTTAAAACTATTTGAGCTGTTTTGTCCTTTTCTGCTCATTGAGGATAATGTTTTAGAATATAGTTATGACCAAGAGTGAAACTTTGTTCTGATTGGTAGCCTGGGTTTATTTATGGTTGTGCTGGCCTTTTGTACTGAAAAGTATCTTCCAGTTTAGGTAACTCTTGCTCCTCTTGGTGAATTTATAGGTCACAGTTGTACCTTTTCTTCAGCATTCTGTTCTACAATGCTAAGCAAGCCAAGGTGCAGTAGTCCTATTGCTCACTTTGTAGTAGTCCTCTGTGTCACTTTGAAGTCTCTACCCCTGTTTTTTTTTTTTTTTTAAAAGGCAGTAGATCATCATTGTGAGCTTTCCAGAAAAATTTTTAGAATGGTGTTAATTCTTCCCTAGTTTTGGGAAAGTCTGTGGAAGGCTGCATCTCTTTTTGAGGCATGTTACATTTGTAGCACTAGTAATTGATTGATTCATACATCCACATCTTTCTTTTCCCAAATAATACATAACCCTTGTTTTGCAGCAGAAATTTTTACCGGCCCTTACATGCTGAAATGTTTTATTTCATCCAGTTTCACTTTTGCTAGTCTTTAAACATCATCTGATTGGATTTTTTATGATGTCTTGATCTTTCTGTACTTCTATACACATCTTTGTGTCACCAGCAAATTTTTTTAGCTCCTGCTTTTTATGTCTAATTCATTAAAGTTAAAAAAAAATAATAATTAAGAGCTATATTTTAAGGATACCATTGGAGTCTGCTTTCCTGCTTCATCATCTTTGTCTAGAAGATTGTACATCGTATTAAAGATCTTGTAGCTTTTCTGAGCTGAAGAATTAATGCAGTTGTGTTTCATATGGATTCTTATGGATTTCTTATGGATTCTTATGGATTACATCTAATGAGAACACTCTCAATGTTCTCATGGTCTTACCTGACTGTCTCTGTTGATAAGAGGCAGAGTGGATCTGGAACTACAGGTATGATGAACGTCAGCATATTAGAACCAATTTCTGCCTTCCTTTCCCGTAGTAGGGATGGGGATTTAGCCCTGTGTTTTCCACCTGCGCTTTGTCACAAGACGTGTAAGAGGTTGCTGGTCTCAGCTGTTTTTTGAGACAGCATAATCTCTGTCAAAGTTGGTTGAAACTAGCCAAGTTCAGAAATTAATATGGAAAACAAATTTTGCAGTTGTCTTCATTTCTATTGTCAGCCTACTTTCTGTAGAAAGCCATGCTAAAATATCAGTCTAGTCTGATGATCTAGCTTTGTTAAGTTTTGGTGAGTATTTCATCTCAGTTTTGGTAACACACTAGTTCTTTAATTAGCTTTACCACTCTTGCATACCTGTTGTTGAAAGCTTAAAACACTTATTTCTGTCGTGATCTTTTAGTATGCCATGAACAATTTGTATAATTATTTTTTCCTTTTATTATTATTTTTCTTCCTTTTACAGGAGAGAGAATTTCTGATTTTAGGTTATTTTTTTTCTCTATTATAACTCATAGAATGCAGATAAAAATACAATTAATTATTATTAGTGCCTGTAGGCTTTTTTGATTAGTACTCTTCTGCTTCCCTACAAAATAACTGATATCAAAGACACTGAATTTCCTGTTTATTTTCTCATCTGCTTTTGTGATGGCATTGGCAGCTTCTTGATATCAGAGAGATCTTGAGACTCAGAGGGGGACTAGTGAGTTTTCCAAGTATACCTGAAATTAAAGCCAAATCAGGCGGGCTTTATTTAAGCCAAAGAGAATGAGAACAGGAAAGCAGTGATCTAAAAATGAAGCTGAGGTTACTAGAGTGGAGTTTATATGAGTTCTTGACTGAGAACAGTACTTCTTTTCAGTCCTACGTTTGCTACCTCTTGAGGGAAAGTCAAAGATCTCTGTAGACACCATTAGAATGTTTTGAAGAAATGCACAGTGACCCAAGGACTTTTCTATATTTTGCCAAAGTTAGTCTGCCCATTTCGGTTATGTAGGTTGTAATATAAAGTGTACAAGTAAAACAAGACTCCCCACGAGTTTTGAAAAATAAAAACTCTCATTGAATAACATGTAAACTGAGAATATAATGTCTTCTCTGTATCAGACGCAGCTCCGAAACCAGCTAATCCATGAACTAATGCACCCAATTTTAAGTGGAGAACTTCGGCCACAGGCTGTTCCAAGTGATGACAGTTCACTTTTGATCACAGCTTCCAACAGTTTGGTGGCAGATCATCTACAGAGATGTGGCTATGAGTATTCACTTTCTGTTTTCTTTCCAGAAAGTGGATTAGAGAAGAAGAAGGTAAGTTCAGTAATTTACCCCTTCTATGACTTTTGGGAGCTGTGCTTTCTGGGGGTTGTCATATTCCAACAGAATCGAAAAAAGTCCCCTTTTGTGATAGAGAAATACAAACGCAAGTACAGCTTCTGATCATCTCCATAAAAGATTTCATTATTCAGGGCTATTTTTATGAATATTTAAATTGGCAATAAGCTGGTTCTGGAAAGACATCGCACAAGCCTCTTAACCTTGCACTTGCTTCACCCATAGCCACAGTCTGGTGTGACCATTTGCGAGGCTGAGTGGCAGAGCACTTGGGGAACTGATCCTGATTAAAGCTCATCTCTTGTTTGGCTCTTCAGTTCCCTGAAAATGGTCAGTTTAAGCTGTTCTAACTACAAGCTGTGGCTGAAAAAGGCAGCTGTTGCCCTCTCTTTGTTTCTTCTCTATGAGTGTGCGATAGGGTGAAGTTATTTCTAACTGAAAAGTACTTTTTTTTACCTGGTGAGTAGTTAGTTGTTGTTTGGATTAGTGAGCTCATCTGATTTGTATGATACATCAAGAAAAGGGGCAATAGCAGGATGGGAAGGAAACAAAACTCTCTCTTTTTACAGCTTCAGTTGATCATGAAACTACGTGCTGCCTGCCACATATCCCAGGTAGTGGAGATAAGTAAATGTAGTACTAGAACAGCAGGCCTCTAAAAATTGTCTTACAAGACACTAAATAGATCTTTCTAAAATGGAGAACATTCTACGATGGTAAATTAGTGCCTGTTACATATTTGAAATTATTTTAAATTAGTTAACCTTTTCAAACTTTTTTTCCCCCCCCAAAGCTGTGGACTATGCAAGATCTTCTTCAATTAATGAGGATAAATCCAAAATCCAGTCTTTACAAATCGCTGGTAAAGTTCTTTTGATTTTGAAAATAAGCTTAAATTACAGTTGTGATGAAATAAACTGGCTAAAACATCTTTTATTTCTTACAGGCTTCAGGAACTCGGAAGGAAAATAAAGGTATGAGATGTTTATACATGATGCAGACAAGGATAATTGTGTCAGCTTCATTTTTATTAAGATGCAAGCACTAGAAAGTCAAATTTCTTGTGTGTATGTTGATATGGAATAATATAGATTCAGTCAGATTTTTTGCAGTATGACAGGATCATGAATATTATATTTCAGGATTATCTAACTCTTATTTGTGGTGTGGATTAAGTGTTAGCATTCACCTACAAAATAAATGACTTTAACATTAGAACTGTGAAGAAAATCTGTAATCAGGTATTAAATATAATGCTCTTTGGAAGCTTTTCACGCTAACTTTGGCAAACTCAGAATTTGGTTTTTGTTTATAACTGCCTCTACTAGCTTGCATAATGTTCTTCAAAAACAAGCTAAAGATGTAATTGACTTTCCTTTGTTGTATATAAGAAATAACTTATGTCTGCACAATGAAACCTAGCTATAATGTACAGCCTAAAGTAGCTTGATCTTCAGAAAGCCCTGTTGCCTAATGACCTCATAATTATAGTAGTAATAATCTGCTCTCTCAAATGACCTTGGAAGTCAAAGACACATGGATGAAAGGAAAAGTTGCAAAATCCCACCTTTTCCAGAATGAGATGGAATGAACTATGCTTATAATAAAATCTTAATAGTTTACCAGTGTTGATTTTTACTTAAATACTTGGTTCTTTCCATAGATCAAATAGGTTTTCTTGCACAGTGAAAATGACTTCATAAAGGCTCAAATTCAGTTCTAGTGTGAAATCAGAACTAATATATTGGATCTTGATAGGTTTTCTTATGCAGATTTTAATTGGACTTACTGAGCATCATCTAAGTAAAGAAACTCACGACACAGAAACTCAGACAACTTCTGTGCCTCCTTACAGAGAATCTCTGGGTAAGTGCAACCTCTGCAAG